ATCGGTGCATGCCTTTGTAGTCTATCATAAACAACAAATCAAACTCCACCGCAACCACCCCGGCGCCTGAGAAAATGGATCTCTACTTGTTCCTTAGTTGCTCACTCTGCCTCATTTTCACCGCCACCTTCCTCCATTTACTAGGGAGATCAAAAACCAGCGACCGAGCCCCGGCGGGCAAACTCCCGCCGGGTCCCACCCGGGTGCCAATCATCGGCAACCTCCACAATCTGGGCCCCAACCCTCACAAATCACTGGCCGATCTGGCCAAGGTCCATGGGCCGTTGATGAGCCTGAAGCTGGGCCGAGTCACCACGATCGTGGCTTCTTCCCCTGCCATGGCCAAGGAAATCCTCCAAAAGCACGACAAAGTCCTCTCCAACCGCCACGTCAACCTCGCCATGGAAGCCCTCGACCACCACAAATTCTCCCTGCCGCTTCTCCCCGTGGAGTCCAAGTACTGGAGGAACCTCAGGAAAGTGTGCAACTCCTACATCTTCACCGCCCAGAGGCTGGACTCCAACGAGGAGCTCCGGAGGGTCAAGGTTGCGGAGCTCGTGGAAGGTGTTCGACGAAATGCCTCCGGGGAGGCGATTGACGTTGCGAGGGTGGCCTTCAGGGCCACTCTCAACGCCATGTCGTCCACCATTCTTTCGATGGATCTTGCGGACGAGGAGAGGTCGGAGGCCGCCAGGGAGTTCAAGGAGCTTGCGAGGGGTATCATGGAAGACTGTGCGACGCCCAATTTGGGAGACTTTTTCCCTCTCCTTGCGAGGATGGATTTGCAGGGATCAAGAGGCGGGTGAAGGGTCATTTGAGAAAGGCTTTGGATCTGTTTGAAACTGTCATCGACAACCGGTTGCGGAATCGGAAGTCGGAGAGCTATGTCTCGGCGAACGACATGCTCGACACGCTTCTTGCCATCGGGGAGGAGGACAAGGCGGCTGCCATGGATCCACTTCGCATCCAACGCTTGTGCGTGGTGAGTATACTATACTATACTATACTCTTTCAGTACCAACCAATAATTAATTAATTACTATGCTCACTCTACGGTCTACACTACTTACTAACGCAACCTTTGTTTTGACGTATATATCAGGATCTCTTCGTAGCAGGGACCGATACAACTTCAACCACACTAGAATGGGCAATGGCAGAGCTTCTCCGCAATCCCAATGCACTTGCTAAAGCTAGGGAAGAACTGGACGCAACAATTGGGAAAGGCAATAATTTTCAGGAGTCGGACGTCTCTCGATTACCGTATTTACAAGCAATATTAAAAGAGACATTCAGGCTACACCCAGCAGCTCCCCTCCTACTTCCGCGCAAGGGAGGAGAAGATGTAGAGATTTGTGGTTTTATCATGCCCAAAGGTGTACAAATTCTAGTCAATGTGTGGGCCATCGGTCGAGATCCGATGATATGGGATGATCCCAACGCATTCGTGCCGGAAAGGTTCTTGGGTTCCGAGGTTAGTGCTAAGGGGAACAATTTTGAACTGCTTCCATTTGGCGCGGGGAGAAGGATCTGCCCAGGATTGCCTTTGGCACTGCGTATATTACATATGATGTTGGGTTCCTTGATCCATTGGTTTGATTGGAAGTTGCCAGATGGGGTCGAGCCAGAGAAGTTGGATATGGACGAAAAGTTTGGGATGGCTTTGCAAAAGGCCAAACCTTTGCTTGCCATCCCTACTCCCAGGTAATCAGAAAATCTGTAATTGAAAGCAACTGCTATGGTGATCGATGCAGCGTTTGACATTCTGAATGTAAGTGATTTGTGGCATTTTCTTTGAATTGGTAATATGTAAGAGACATTTTGATTTGGCAAGCATGTGGGAATGGTGATTGTAATAATACAAATATTGCGTGATATATATTATGAGCACTGATTAATATTTTTGCAACTTATTATCGATTATCATTTAGAGTATCTCAAACATATAATCCTGATTTGGATAATACTGTATAATGTCAATATGTCATATATTACTATCATAATATAAAATCTTATTACTCAGGTACGGACCGGTACCACCTGTGTTTTCCCACTCTACAATATCTTACCTTACCATCACAACGATCTGTACGTAGTCTAGTCGTAATTGGCTAATTGCTGGAATTGTTGACCACCCAACTTCAGTAGTGCTGACTTGACGCTAGCTAGCTAGCTTGACTACGCTTTTGTTGAAATTGACATATATGCATTGTTGAAGTTGAACCAAACGGGCGATATGCAAATCAAAATAAACAAGAATCTCCCACAGCACAAAAACAGACAAGCAACATATCGTAGCTGCCATTCATCAATCTTTCATTTGCTTTGGCTAAGCCCACCACATGGCACATGGAGCTCTCTAGAAAGCGTATAACAATAATAATCTGTGTGTCTGTTCGTTTGTTACATTTGTTGTTTGTGTACACATTCATGATTCATCTCATTAACTTCCCGTCAAAAACGTTTCCCCGCCCCCTCCCAAACGTACGGTTTATACAACAAGATTCCCTCTCTCACCTCTTCCGCCAAAAACGATTTCAAAATTCCCAAATTTACAGCCTCTCCCATACAACTACTCCCTCACCGTGACACACGGAACTGGGGAAGAAGACTTTAGACTTGCTGTGATGGCCGAAAGAATCCCACCTTCTGGTCACCGGGTTCGACCAAACCCTCCTCCATTTTGCTGCTACATTAACAGATACAGAGTATACAAAAACACCTCCCTCATTCTCCCTCCGCCCATTGAGATACTGCACAAAGTACGTCATCCATCAGCTCCTTACCGATCAGCAGAAGTAAAAGGCAAAACTTTTGGATGGATTCTGGCAGATTAAAGATGTAAAACTTAGAAATTACCTATACCAGTCGAAGCAGGACAATTAGCATCATTTCTCTTCGCTTAATGATTGGAGTAGTTTCAACAACTCTCTGTTCTTTACATTTCTTCTTAGCAGCTTAGCCTGACAGCATACTCGATCAAATGAGTGATTTTCTCACCTACAACCATGGCCACCAGGCCCCCATTTTGTCAAGGTAGGCGAGACCTACTCTATTATAACCTGTTCCCGCTTAGGAAAAAGTGTGTAATAATTTTTACTGACAGTCCACAAAATACTGATATTTATAATAAGAGCTCCTGATCGAAGGAGAGAACGGGGAAATTCCATATGACCCGATATATCTGACAAGCCGCACTATACGGTTCCAATCAACCAGGATTTAATTTTGAAACATCAGCCGTCAGAAAAATAATATAAACAATTAATTATAATAGTCCATCATTAGTATTGAATTTTAAAATTTCATATTCGAATCTCTCGAGTAACACATTATAATGAATATCGCCATTATAAAAAAAACACATTATAATGAAAACAAACATTTATCACCTTTAAACATTAATTATAAAATTGAAGCATAAAAATTAAATAAAATAAAATAAACCAAAAACAAAACAGGAAGGAGTCGTTTAATTGCTGTACAGCACATTCTCACTCATGATTCCAAAACAATGGAAGTGGTTACTGATGACACTGATCAGCTATAATTAGAATTATTAAACCATTAGTTATTAGAATTATTAAAGGGTTATAGGTATAATATGCTCATTTACTATGACGTTTTATCAAATATATCCCTCTACTATTTTTTACACCAAACATGCCCCTGTACTTTGAAAAAATTATCAAACATGCAATTCTGTTAAGATTTTCAATGATAAAATCATCAATCATGGTTGAACCGAGATTTAGAAGACCCGACATTGGCAAATGGGAGCGAAAATGTCAATTTTTTCTCCCGTTTTATTTCTCTGGGTCTCTTCAAAGTGAAATTATTTGAATTATTTGGCTATACAAAAGAACAAAAAAAATCTAAAGTAAATTATTAGGGATATTTTAGACATTTGTGCCTCCCAAACCAAAGTTCCACCTTGGTTAACGGTTTTTGGTTGAAATCTTAAACAAAAGAGCATGTGTGATCATTTTTACATAGTACAGAGGCATGTTTGATGTAAAAAATAGTATAAGGGCATGTTTGATTAAACGTCATAGTAGAGAGGCATATTATACCTATAACCCATTATTAAACTACTAGCAGACAAAACTTACCAAAAATCGAGATTTACTGTTTATTACGAAAACAGAGTTCTTCACCACATTGGGCATTTGGGCTGGACAAGTGATGACCGTTGATTATCGTTTTAATTTCCTCACATACATGGACTCAACTCTCAAGTGCAAATGGCCACACAGGTCAGCACCCACTCCCTCTTCTCCGGTGCACCGTCCTCTCCTCTATGTTACTTTTTTAGCTTTCCCCATTCACTTTTTTCTAGGATCAAATCCCACAACCAATCACAATCAGCGTTTATCAAGCCTCCTCTATTTCCTATATAGCTCCCTCATTTGTTCTTTCTTCTTTGCTACCTTATCATTTCTCTCACTCTTCACACAATTCTATATAATCATACAAAATATAATAGTTCCCACATCACACCCAATTGGAATATAGAGACGGACAGTCTCACACTCTCTTTTACCAAAAGGGTATCTATCTAATGCAAATGCAATAGACTGAGAGAGAATTTTTGGGATGACTGAAAGAGAGATTTAGAAGAAAGTGTGAGACGGATAGTCTCACACTTTCTTTTAGCCTAATACCATTCACCTCCGACACGGTTTTGCCCTACACTATTTTTTGCACCAGATTAATAGGGATAGATTTAGAGAGAATAAGGTTGTTCCTTACTATAATATGAAAATTTCTAGTTGCACCATGTCACTAAAGCAATTGAAACTAGGATGTTTGGGTTCTAATTGTTAGGTTACAACCACTAGATTAGATCTGCATTGACCAAAATCAAGGTACGTAGGTGCGTGAATATATTACAAGTGAGCTTCATCCCATGGCAATTTTGGAAGATAGAATTGAAAATGGGAAGAGCCTAAACCAGAAGAAGGAGCGTAATGATAATCTTGTACGTGTGCACTAATTAATTAAGTTGGCCGACGGGCAGAGACAATGGTGGGTATGGTGAGAAGAGGGAGGTCTCGGCGGGCTGTAAGACCAACACACTCAGACATGTCCAAATCCTCCCCTCTCATTCCACCGGGAAGCTTCCAGTCAAAGTCCCTCACCAGATTCGCCAGCGCCACCTCCACGACGGCGAGGCCGAAAGAAATCCCCGGACAGCATCGCCTTCCAGCTCCAAAAGGTATCAGCTGAAAATCTTGGCCTTTGAAATCCACTTTGGCTTGGAGAAATCGCTCCGGCTGAAATTCGTCAGGCGATACCCCCCAATCGGCCGGGTCCCTTCCGATCCCCCAGGCATTGGTGAGGATCATGGTTCCTGCAGATACATCGTACCCCATTATGGTCGCATCTTGCATCAATTGCCTTGGAGGTAGCAGCGGGACTGGCGGGTGCAATCGAATCGTCTCTTTGATTACTAGCTTTAGGTACTCCAGCTTGTGCAAATTAGCTTCAAAAATAATGACACATTCACCACCAACTTCTCTTCTGACCTCCTCCTGCAGCTTCTTCATCACCCTCGGGTGTTTCATCAGCTCCGACATTGCCCATTCCAAAAGCGTTGAGGTTGTATCTGTTCCTCCGATGAACATGTCCTAATCCATCACGGCAGTCATAGTTAAGTAACAGGGAAATTTACATCATACGTAAGTACCTTTTTTATAATAAATAAATAAATAAATACCAAGATGACTGCTTTGATCCCGTCTCCATCCAGGTGGAAGTCGTCTGGGCTGTCCCTTTGGAGCTGCAGTAAGACATCTATGAAGGGTACTGCTTCGCCTTCTTCTTCTTCTTCTTCTTCTTCTTCTTCTTCTTCTTCTTCTTCTTCTTCTTCTTTTCCCCTTTCTATCATGTTGCTCCGTTTCTCCAAACGAGCCGCGCTCTCCAAGACCGCTCCATCAAGAAACTCATCAAATCGTCTAGCCACCCTATCGACTCGAGCGTCGAACCCAGTGAGTCGACTCACCCACGAGAGCTGAGGAATGAACTCGCCCACACTTAATGTAACAACCAACTCCATGAGCTCTGCCAAAAGATCCCTAAAGACGGTATTGCCATCGTACTTCCTCCCGAGCGCCATCCTGCAGATGACGTCGTTGGTGAAGCAGGGAAGTAGCGCGCTCAAGTTCACCTCCTGCCATCAATATATATAATTGCACACATGATTTATTTATTCGAATTCGTACGTAGAAACAAGAAGTAATTTTGGAATATCTAATCGCAAATTACCATCTACCTGGCCCGTTTGGGCACTTGCTCGAATCCGATTGACCAGCAACCCGATTTCCTCCTCCCTCAAAGCATGGCAGGACTGGATTTTCTTGTTGCTGAGGAGATGAAGCACGCACAGTCGTCTGGCCTGCCTCCAGTGCTCGCCGTAGCGAGCGTTGGCGATGTCTTTGTTATCGTAGAGAAGCTTCTTAGCGGTTTTCAGATCTGGCCGGTCGGCGGAGATGAGGTCGTTGGTCTTCATCACCTCACGCGCCGCCTTGGAGGTGGAGACCACTAATACCGGCCTGCTGCCAAAGTGGAGCAGCATGAGGTCAGGGCCGCCATAAAGCTTCGCCAAGGCGGGGAAAGTTCGGTGAGGATACTTTCCCACTTGGTGGAGGTTCCCAAGGATCGGCAGCTTCGGCGGGGACGGCGGCCGTCGGGCTTTGTTTCCATGCTGCGATCGTTTGTTGCTGCTGCTGATAATATTTCCGGATGATGAGTAGCACTAGTACTGCAGCAGCAAACACGCCGGCGGCCAGCACAAGTAACGGTACTACTATTGCCATGGCTGGCTTATCGATCAAATACGCTTTCTGCGCGCAATTCCATCTGATATTGATTGATGTCTATATATTTCCGCCAAAGTATTTTTATTTTATTTTAGGAGCACCTGCCATATATGAGACCTCTAGCGTCCTGTCGTTATACAGCTAATAAATATTCTCCATCTTCTACTCATCAAGTATTTTAGGAGAACGTGCATGGTTTGATCATTAAGTATATTTTAGGAGTTTGTTCCCTCCAAATTGGTCCTTGTTTTTTAATTTAATAGGAATCTTTCATGAATGATGTACTTCAATATTTATATTTGGAGAAAGTGAACAGTTTGGATTTTTTATGTCTCAAATAAGAAGCTATGTTACTAGCGAATAAAGACTTAGTCTAGTGATTCTAATGTTGATTTTTCTATCTTACTACATTCTATTGAAATTTTTGTTTACGTCTTCAACCTTAACATGCAGGTAAAAACAAAGTAGAGAAAAGAAGTGATTACATTATTAGTGTCTAAGAGCACTTCTGTAGTAATGTATCCTAACAATCACGAAATGAAATCATCACAGTTTATCGTGATCCACCCGTTTGAAAATAAATATAAACCATTAATTATAGAATTTAACCATTAGAAGAAAGGGGGTAAAAGTAAACAAAACAGGATGGAATCTTTTGATTGCGGTCCAGCACATTCTCACTCATGACTCCAAAACAATGGAAGTGGTTACTGATCAGCTATAATAATCCAATAACTAATCAAGTAATTAACTTAATCACTACGTATATGACAAAGAACAAGTTGCTTCTTCTTTTAGTTGGAAACTTCATCCCTTTAGTCCTTTCCTTACTTCTTCTCGAATACAATTATGAGTTGTAAAACACTTCATATTTATTGTTATTTTATTATTGTAAGGGTTTATACTTCTATAATAGTATAAAAAAAAAAGTGTAGTTAACCCGGCCACCAGTTGCAAGTGCATCTTGCTAATTAATCACTAAAAAATAGTAGTGCTTCCATCCATTTCCAAATAAATAAATCAATTGCTAATCTCTCAAAAGAATTGTTTCTCTACTCCTTTAATTTTACTCGTAGTGAGAGCACTATGAGATCGAAAAGAAACTTTTTGCGGTAGTTTCAGCTTTTACCGACGGTCTCAGAAGCTCGATCCACCATCCTTAAATAGTTTGCAACGGTTCTGCTGGACTGTCGTACCAAATATGACTGACTTTTAGCGACGGGTGCGGTTTGACCGACGTTAAGTTAAGTTCAGATGCAAGTGAACTTGCATGATTAACCGATAAATTAATTGCGTGAAAATACAACTAATATATATTACCCCCCATAGAAGAGAAGAAAAGTACAGCAGAGAAGCTGAGATAGCCTGATGGAGTGGCTATATAATAAGTTCATATCAGGAAGGGTCTTCAACTGAAAATGGAGCTAGCTAGCAATAGCATCGATTAATATATATATGTTTAAGTTTCAGTTAATTCCCGTTGCCTTGACCAGTACTCCTGGGACTAAACTGAGCTGAGAAGAGGACGCCTGCTGGCACCCTTGTTGTTGTGTCTCAACATAACTAGGTAGAGTGGATCTTCAGGACTGAGTTGAAACAGCTTTATTGTCATGTAAACACAAGTAGCAAAACTGCAGACAGAGAAAGGAAGCAAAAAGGCAACAGATCGAAGTTGGTGTCAGCTTTTGCAGTCAAGTCAGTCAGTAGTCTTTTCTGTGAAAGCATATATATGGTTGAAGCTGGAAATTACGTACCATCCCGTCAATAAAAATGGAACCACCCACAGGGAAGCACTTAACCAACTTGTTTCCTTGTAGAAAACCCACACCTAGTACGTACGTACGTAGTAGATTAATTAAGACAACTTGGCAACAAATTAACATGGATCGATCAGCAGGGAACTACAGATCGAGCGAAGAGAATCGTTTCGTTTCGTTTAATTTTAGGCTTACCAAAAGACACACGGTGACAAAAGAGGAGTCGATCACTGTTCCTATGATCCACCTACGTACACACACATGGTTTTGTCACAAAATCACATTGCATGGATCGATTATAACCGACCAAGTCAGTCTAATTAACTAGCTAGCTAGCTTGATTACGCCATTTTTTTTTAAAGTGATTGAGATTGGCGATGAGAAATTAAAGTCGTCTTACGGGGCCAGGAGGACCTCCATGCGGAAAGGAGAACCGGCGGCGAAAATGGAGTAAACCACAGCTGCTATCATCAAGCAAACCAAACTTATGAACCCAATTCGTGCAGCCACGACGAAACAAGACTTGTCCGTCTTCCCCTTAATCTCTTCATCATCATAGCTCCTCCTTATAACATTAGTTAGCTGTAAGTACGCACGTACGTATAACAGAAAGAATCAGTACGTTAAGACAATATATATGTGGTACTTGTGCTCGTGTCGCAATAGCACATGGTAGATAGGGTCTTGCTGGGATTCTTGAGGTGACAACTTGAGAAGCTGAATAAAGACGTAGCCGCAAACCACCGCACTGTATTGGTGAGCACAGAGAACGTACGTACACACATAATTAACACATCTTCAATCCACACATATATATATGTAAGCCTAGATAGTTTAGAAGGGACTACAACTCCTAGCCGACTCGCTCGCTCGCTCGCTCTAAATCTCGATTTCGTTACTATTTAATGAACATATATATACCTGCCAGTAGGGAACATCACAAGTAGCCAAATTGCGGAATGCAGAAAGCTGGACTCCTTGTAGACCACCCAGAGCGGAAACAGAGAGAGAGAGAGAGAGAGAGAGAGAGAGAGCCCAAGTCAATCTAATAAACTGTAGCTAGCTATGTATATAGATTATAGAGCAATCGCTCGGAAAGCACAAGAAGCTAGCTAGCTAGCTAGCTGTAAATAAATAAATAAATACCGCAAAAGGGGACATGTTGACGAAGAACTCAGCGATTCCAGTACGCAACCATCTGCGTATTGCAAGAATAAATCACCAAAGAGAGAGACAAAATAGCTAGCTAAAACTGAAAGAAGCAAGCAAGCTCGCTAGCTAGCTCGATCTAATTAATGGCCTGGCCTGGCCTGGCCTGGCCGGAGTATTAATTAATATAATTACGTGGTGTAGGTGTCCCTGCTGTAGATGGGATGGTAGTGGTAAACGTAGCAGGCAACGACGGTGAACGCGCAGGCTAGTGCCAAGAAGAGAGCCTTTAAGCCGGTCGCCAGGAGAGCCGCCATCGCACTAGTACCTACGTATTCTGACTTCTTCGTTGCTTGCGCTACGGTGGTGTCTCCATTAGAGTGAGATCATCAGAGCTTTTTAATGGCGGCCAGAAAATTAAGGAGTACTAATAAACTAAACATTCTTCATCACTTGGTCAGATATAACAAATAATGAACAGACAACAACAAGTATAGTTGTTATTCCGGACCAAATTAAAATAAAGCTAGATTCCCACGGCCACGCTACCTGCCCCCCATTGGCCAGTTGCATGCCTCGCACTCATCTTTGTTTCACCATTAATTAAATTTAACACAAGGTATTAGGTAACCCTAATTAAACTAAACATAAAGCAGACAAAAGGAGTCTACATTATTCTGATCCAGCGCATGCAAATGCAATGCATGTGGCCAACTTGCAATCGTGGTTCCAGTCCACAACAAACTAAACTAAACTAAACAAACAGTAAAATTAAAGGATTCCTAAGACAAGTGGCCTGGTATTACCATTACCACAAAGGTACGTATTAGCAATTAAACTAAACATAAAACTGCGATCCAGCAGCGCATGTGGCCAATATTTCATCATGGTTTCAATCCATTAGAATAATTAAGCCACAAGTTCGCAAGAATTACCAAAAATCGCGTTTACTAGACAAGTGGGTACTGAACAACACTCACCCCTAACTGTTCTTGAATAAAGCTAGGAGTTATACTTACTCCTCCCTGGGTCGCCATATCCGACCGCCGGCCAGTCCTCTGATGTGACAATCCATTCCATGGGTCATTTCAAAATTGGAATTTCAGATAATATATTTTGACAATACATGTCATTAAAATAATTCATCATTTTTTTGTCTTAAAATGAAACACGATACTTTTACTTGAGCAAAAATTGCGATCACCAAATCGTTTAGGGTAAATACAATATATTAGCCACAACTATTATGAAGCGGGAAATTATAGCCACAATTATGGAAATTCAAATTATTAGCCATAACTATCGTCGCGGGTCAAGATATGGCTAACTGTCCGTTACTGTTATTAAATTTTTAACGGAGAAGGCCACGTCATCGGTCACGGCAACAGCCACGTCGGACTGCTTTTAATTTATAACTTTAAAACCCAAAAAATTTGTGAGTATTACTAAAGGAATTGTTATAGATAGTTAAAGTTTGGCTAATAATTTGTTGTGGCTATAATTTCCCGCTTCATAATAGTTGTGGCAAATATATTATTTTTACCCAATCATTTATTATGGATGATTTTCAATCTCAACAAAAAGCTGAGATTGTCAATATCTCAATTTTTCTTCCTCATTTTTTGTGGGATCACTAAAACTATTCAACCTCCAAATAATGTAATATTTAAATTCATACATTGAACAATGCATTTAATTAGAATACATAAATTAATTAAAGGCATCAATTTAGAGAATCCTAACAATCAAAGATGGCCTCAATTCATCAGTTTTGTTAACCAAATTAGGCAAATTCCAAAAAATCAAAATCAATTTTTTTAAAAGGGCTTATCGAGTAATGGTTAATAGATAACTCCCTTAACGGTTTTGGTTTGGTTTGGATAAACCAAATACATGGTTTGCAAAATCCAATGGAGCCAGATAATACAACAAGAAACATGCGATAGTAAAAATGTCTACTACACATAAGTTTGCGATAAAGCATGTTGTTGACGAATATTGACTTATTTAGGGTGGAATGATTTCGTATTTGTATTTTGGTTTTAAGTGAAATCGAAACAATTAAGACATTAAACAAATTTTAATTGTAATGACAGATACCAAGAGTATGGATGAATTTCCATGCAAATCATTTAGGATTTATATATAAGAGTTTAGAGTTATAGCATAGGATACATGATTTAGGGTTTAGGCTTATGATAATGCTTGAACGAATTGTAGCTCTAAGTTATATCATCATATTAGTCTAATTTTAGAAATTAAATTTTAAAATTTAATGGTTAAGACTATTTTTAGGTTAGAGGCATACTATGCACTCATTTGAATGAGTGCACTGTAATAATTAACAACCGTTTCTTCCTCCTGGGAGAAGGAGAAGTGTTAGGACTAGGGTTGTTTTTCCATATAAGCCCGCTCGCTATTGCTTCGGGTGTGAGCGACAACCTAATATTTTGTAGAGTAATAGTTTAAATAATGTTGATCCAAAAGTAGAAGGATTTTATTTCATTCCTAATCTTTCTTTCCATGGGTTTGTCATGTACACATGTGATCGGCTAAATGAAAAACTTTCATAAGGGAAAAGAATGGTTGAGAAAATAATTTATATTTTTAAACTTCTCTCATAAAGATATTGTCCAATTTGTAATTTTTTTTCTTTGCTTTTATTAAGTTAATCTTGATTCTCTTTTTTATGGATTTTCGGGGCTGATCGCAGGTTTGAGGAGGTTCAACTTGCGTTGATCGGACCGAATTAGGTTGAATACCCATGGGTATGGGTTCAATTAGTATTCTCAATCAAAAAGGAAAAAAAATTAACAAACACTAAAGCAGATGAAACTGGCAAAACTCGAAAACAAAAGGTTCAACACGCTTTGACCGGGTTGAACCAATTTTTCTTAACAAAATTCACACTTAACCCAACATGCCAATTAAAAAATCGAATAAAACTCAATCCCGGTCAAAAACTAATAAATATTGGGTTCAAGTCGTTTTGATTAGATGAATTAGATTGGATACCTTGGGTTTGAGTTCGATTATCATTCTCAACAAAAAGGAAAAAGAGAATTTTAAAAATACCAAAGTCGGATTAAAGTCGCTTTGACCTAACCGAAATAGGATGGACACTCATGGGTTTGGGTTCAATTCTCATGTTGTAGGGATACAAAACTCGTCAACACAAAGTAAATATGGTATAGATTTTAGATAGCGGCTTTGGAAAATGTTGTAGGGATACAACTTTGGATTCCACCTACAATGTTTCAAAAGTGGGTTGTAAATTGGTGGGCGAATGCGAGGATTATAAAGACAATATATGGTATGGATCTTCGGTAGTGGACTAGTGGTTGTGGCAAACTGTGGAATGGGACAACTTAGGTTTCCGCCGACAGTGTTTCGAGATAGTTGTGAATTGGTTGGCGAAGGTGATGATTTGGGCAAAATGCCATAGACGATGGACAATCGATGTAGACTCAGTGGACAAGAGTTAAACATAGAGGATGTAAAATGAGAGAGTTGGGTAAAAGAAGATACTTGGGAGAGATTTGAGTAAATGGACATTAAATTGGGAAAACTTAATGGACACAAGTTGAAATAAATGATATGAAATGGAGAGTGGGGTAATAGGAGGTTCTCCAATTTTTAGAAATTTAGGAGAAGGATATGTGAGTGAAGAAGAAAAAAAAAAACAAATGAAAATTGTCCATACTCCATTTGTACTTGAAAAAGTTTGGGAGCCACTAATGAATAATAACTCACATGTTAGACTTTTATATATTAATTAATGTACTTGGTTTACGCCGTCATGAATAAGAAGATAATATTTACCGTAAAGAATGCCTCTCACACGGGAGTAACAAAGATGTATCCTGTTATAGTTTGGTCATCGACTACTACGCTTCTAGGTAGCTACAATAATTATCACAGTTGTGTTTCAACTAACGATCTGAGTCAAACAAAATAAGCTCATGATAATTAGAGTTGAATACAAGACATCTCAGATAGTCATTATAATCGCGTTAAGCGAGACTTGCTTGGGTGCCATCCACTCATTAGTTCCCTTGATCAACAATCCCAGCCAAAGGTATACGTACGGTAAATTTTCTAAGTAGAGGTTAAAATCCATTGGGTCAATCTTAACCATGCATATCGAATCCAACACAAAGCGCTCGATCCGAAAAGGAAAGCAAGCTGAAAAGAAAGCAATGAAGCTGAAATAGAGCCAAGTCCAACAACAAAACAAAACGCACGCACACTCTGGAAAAGGAAGCAAAACAAGGAAGGAAGCAACCATTCAAGGAAGAAGGAAGGAAGGAAGAAAACACAAGACGAAGAAGTTGTTTTTGATTTAAAAGGAATTAATCCGGGTAGCGGGCGGTTGATCTGGAGGTTCAAAGCGGCACCGGATTGACGAAGAGGTCGGCAATGCGTTCCCTCAGGAACTGGGGGTGAGTGTAGGCATCGGCCTTCAAGTAAATGACACTGATGGTGCGCGCGAAGTTGATGACCGGCAACAGCAAAGCTCTGGGCAATGGAGTTGGCTTCTGGCAATACACCTCAGTCATGTCTTTCCAGGCATCCGAAATCCGGCCCCACATTGCCTTTGTCGCCTCCTCCTCGGAGACACCGTGCTCCTTCATGAAGCACTGTACCGCCGACGCCACGTGCGACCTCTTTTGCTCGAACTGCATATATGCACATGATCATCAAGAAACGAACAACGACGTGTACGTAACGTACGTGTAAATCTCATGATCGAGTACTACTCTAACCAAGCGAGCGCCGTACCGGGTAGGACATGATGTCGTTTTGGACCCTACAGATGGAAGTGGAGGCCATCACCATCTTATTAGTTATATCGGCTACCCACTCAAAGGCCTCTGGAGTGGCCAGCTCTGGTTCCATGCCCAAGTACGCGGACGGGCAGAGGAAGAAATAGCCGCCGGTGATGTTTGCATGACTCAGGTACTCCTCCAGCTTCGGAACATGACCCTCAGTGCGCCACCGGGCCTCGCCCAAGAAGGACCGGCACAATCTTTTGAACTACAACGCACGCACCATCGGATCGATTACATTACAGTGAGTGAGTTTGATTTGTTTGTCGAGGGAGGGAGGGAGGTTTAATAATTTGGATCATACTCCCACAAATTAAAGAAATACGCACCTCTCGCTTACAATATTCAACGCCATAAGTGGGTCCAGTCCCTGAGATTGCTTCTTCGATTTCTTCGAACAGCTTAACGAGGACGATCTGGTAGGCCTCCTTCATCGTGGCCGGAAGTTCTTCCAGAGCAGAGATATCCATCCTAAACCAATTACATTAATCAAACACACCAATCAAGCGATCGAGTAATTAGAATTTTATAGACACATGCATCCGGCCGGTTGAATTAATTAGCCTCCACATCTGCAACACTAGAAACTCGTTTCCATCAGCAACCAGTCAAGCTATAGCTAGCTAGCGCAAGATTTGAACTCTTCTGCACGCAACTAAAATAAAAAGGCACTTCTGCAAAATCATGATGTGATCAACATTTTGTTACCCGACTCTAGTCTTGTATGGCAAACTGCAAATCTACTCTTCGACTTCTCCGTTGACCCCTCCAACCATCATGAATATTTACACGCCCACCATGGATCTCACAATATACCAACTTTTATGAGTTCTTTGATTCTTAAAACCATAAACAATTCACAGGATTAAGCAAAAGCAAAACAATACACGAGGGAAGATTAGATTCATGGCATCATGCACACACAGCACCGAAGTGTAACCCTGTCCCTCCATTCGCATATCCATGCGGCTCTCACTCCAGCTCTTGTTTTCGAAACCATGCCTCTCCAATTATTGATCAGAAAATTTAAGATATAACCTGATTAGATGCCACAACCTCGGTAGAAATTCAGATGGGCATCAAGCATTCAAATCAGAATGCCCAACTTGCTTCTTGCAACTTGAAATGGCCCCTTCAACTTCCGCAGTTCCACTACTATCAAGATCAAGGCATATGAGATCGCGAACAGAGGGAATTCAGAATTTCCAATTATTATTACGACGAAGATGTTTAGCTAATTCAACATCTGACAACTTAAACTGGCTCCTATAGAGATCAACGAGACATAAAAAAGTACAAGTTAGTAAAACCCTGAAAACCAAAAATTGATATGAGGCAACACGGAGACGTTAAGGCTGATAGAGGCTTTCAATTCTTCTCTTCCATTACCTTAAATCAATGCACTGTACAGAGAAGTTAAGGCCAATACACCCTCACACCCACTTTATCTTGTTGAAGATTAGGGACTCGACGTAGGAGCAAGATACTGGCAAGGCACTTACAACAGATAATCATAATCAGACTCAAGCTTTTGGGCTAAATTCATTATCAATCGATAAGTAACGTTCACCTCACTGGGCTTCCAAGAAAAGCAACTTTTTGGAAGAGTTCCCAACATGGGCCATCAAGGCGTTCATCCGATCGCAAGGAAGTTTCGCCTAATGGAAACAAACATGGAAAAAATCCAACTATCATGCCATCCCATCCAATAATGATTGCCGAAGATCAATTCACCTCTCATTACCCAACGCACTAAAAGCGGGGGCAAAACCGGCCGGAAGCTTACCTCGAATCACAGAAGTCGCCGCCTTCCAGAAATACCCACGATCAAACCCTAACAATCATCTGTTAGAAGAAGTTGTAGGATCAACAGAGAAATCTCAACAACTAATTGGACTGTACTTAGTAATTATGCGGGTACGAGAAATGCCATCAGATCGAACACTATATTCCCCAAAAAAGAGAGTGGAGAGTAAGAAATCATCAATGCGGTCCATGGGAGAACTCAATTTCTGTAGAGAAACGAGAAAGGAATAAACTAGAAGATCAATCGGCTAAACTCGTACGGATCCGACCTCCTAATCGAAACCCTAAAAATGCAGAACCACCAGAGATCAAACGCTATCTAATTTTGTTCAACGCTTCTTGGCGGCACAGACAACAAATAACGAAGGGAACCCGATATTTTATCCCTATTTATAAATGCAGAAAGGCGGTTTGAAGTCGGTTTAGCCGTTATTTGCCAGCTGTACGCTCTTTTGCCAGTTGGACGCGTTGCACTTCATTAGCTAAAATTATGCGTTGCCAGCTGGACGTAATTGACCCTTTTTGCTTTTTTCTCGCCAGCTGGACGCGTCAAAAAAAGCGTGCGGTTGGACCGAGTAAACATTAATGGTGCCAGTTGGATTTTACCTTAACCCCACAAAAATGTGTAGTTGGACCTAGTCAAACATTTGGAAAAAGCCCAATTTTCACTGCCATAGACAGCCCAAAATAGCCCACCCTAAATGATACCAACCGGAAATATTTTATTGGGCTCGTACAACCCAAAAAGTCCAAATCCAGCTCCCAATAACCCAACGAACAACCCAGAAGACAAGTCCAGTTAGATTTGAGTTTTTTTTTTTTTTTTTTTTGACAACTTAGATTTGAGTATTTGACGCTCACATCTTTAAATGATTTATTATTACACATGATTTCCATTTAATTCTATGGCATCTCCACACGGAGCCAAGTGCAAAAATCAAATTCTAGCACAACACTAGGTGATAATAATACGAGGGTCTTCCTTGCCACCAAGTGGGCAACTCTGTTGTTTTGTCTACCAGCGAACCGAACTAGATAACCAGGATATATGTGTCGGAAAAGTCCCGATATCTCGGAGAAGCGCCCCACCCTTGGCATCCAACACACACCGCGCATTAACCTTGTCAATGATAATCTTGGCATCCCTGCACTTTCACCGAATCCCAACCATTCTCAATGCACCAATAGAGAGCCTCCCGAAGGACAACCAATTTTACCACGATCGATTCAAACTCCCCTTCCAATCGTTCTCCTTTAGCCATCACAACAGCCTCTGTTGTATCTTGAATAACAATCCTTATTGCCGCATAGGAATCACCACTTAGTGCGCCATCAAAGGAGCAAATCAACGCCTAGGGAAACACTATATCCATGACCACAGTCTATCCAGTCAGGCCACTCCTCGCACTCGTCACCTCCCTCGCCATTACTCGAAGCCATTCCTGGACCTGATAGGCGAGGGTGCTGCATGTCAGCCACATTTTTGCCACGTCACAAAAAGTCACCATTGCTTTGACTACCTTATTAACATTGTGTCATGCAAAGTGTCAAATAATTAAGCATTAAGTAAATCTAGGACGCTAATTAATTAATTGATTAGCGCATGGTACTATTAACTATATTGAATAGCTATTAATTAACTAATAATTCATTATAAATCTAGGACGCTAATTAACTAGTCAACAATTCATATCTACCGACCACAGGCATCTTCAACCTTAATTGACGCAGCCTGTGTCATCGTTGGCCGGTCAAACTTGCTAAATATTCTTAACTACATAAGTTAGCAAGAACATTTGGCGATAATTATTCTTAATTATGGATTACTATATTGAGCAAGCTTATTGGCCACCCATGAATAGGGTGTAAGTTTGACCTTAAAATCCACTTACCCGCCTCGACTCTGAGGGTCGGGCTGGTTCAGCTTGTCTACAGGGTCAGGTCATATATTTTTTTTTTTGACCCTATGACCTTTAGCATCATACAAACATAAACATGTTGGACCAATTTGTAATTTTTAGAAAAGCAATGTATTTATTAGGGTTGACCCACTGACTCGGCCCTTCTTGACCCGCCATGACCCTAAAGGGTCAGACAGGTTTAGGGTCAGACAGGGTCATGAAAGAAACAAAGGTGAGATGGGTCAGACAGGGTCAGGGGCGGATCGTGACAATTTTCATCCCTACCGATAATCATACTATACATTTTTTAATAATGATGAATTGTTATTAATGATAAAAGGAAATTGAAAGGAAGAAAACAAGAGTCTTACAACTGCAGAACAAAAGAGAACCAAACCAGCAAAGCATCACGAAATGACCAGATACACGGAAGTGACGAGGAAAGAACAAGAGAAAAACATTAACAAATGAAACCACAAAAACAAAACCGCACTCACGACAAGAAACAAAAGCCGCCCTTAACTGTCAAATCCACATGCAGTAACAGAAACAGCCGACAATGGTATATAGAAATAAGCAATTTGCTGGATGTGCTTAATTTGGAGGGTTAAAAGCCAAAACGATCTCTAAATTATCGGCGAGACAAAAGAATATAACACTAGTGATGGTAAGCTAAGGCCTAAGCTTATTATTTATTGTGGTTTGGTGTTGATTAGATATTAATGGGAGGGAAATATTTGTCACATTAGAGGTTTGGATCTTGGATCAACTGCCGCTCTATAAGAGAGAAAACACAAATCTATTCATAAGAACAAACCTTGTTTTGTAATTAGACATATACCGATTTGTGCATTAATTAATCATCCTCAATGAAAGCAATCAGGGTCCTCTTTTCCATGATAGTAAATTAGCCACAAATATTACAACTAAAACTATGGGGGATGTAATTATAAGCCATCGTCAAATTAATTCGAGGCGAGAAATCATCCAATTCAATTTCAATTTGTTTAGTGTTTACCACGTTGGGAGTGAAATGTATGGTTGATATTATCAAAATAAACTGATTAGCGGTTAAAGTTAGGGTGTTAACACCTAATTTTTTAGTAAGATGCTTCAGTCAATAGAAACAATATTATTGTGGTGACTTTTTATATTGAAAGAGTTCACCACAAATTTATATTGAAAACTCATAAAACATACAAGAAACTCAACTCATCATAAAACTCATAAATTATATAAAAAACTCAAAGCTGGCTGCAAATTTTCAAAAGAGGACCATAAAATTCATACTATTGACCACAAACATCATGAAGCATATTAGTAAACTTAGAGGAGATCATAAATATGAGAAATCACTCCATACAACTTATAAAGCAGATAAGAAAATTCAAAGTCGACCACAAATTTTATGAAGCAGACAAAAAGTATCATAAAGGTTAATACAATTATCATGAAGTAAAAAAAAAACATAACAAAACACATTGCAAAAATAGTAAAGTATCATAAAAGTTATCACAATTACCATGAAGTAGACAAAGAAAAACAGAACAAAACACGTTACAAAACTAATAAACTACACCATAAATTTCATAAAGCAGACAAAAAAACTCACTCTAACTTGGTTAGTACATAAATCCAGGACGCTAACTGTAACAACTAGCTAATAATTCATACCTGCGATGATGCTGATCGATTAGTTGAAGTAATATATGACTCAAATTATTTAGGGGAATTAATAATCCTCGACAACCCGGCGGCCCGCACCCTACTTGTTCCTTTGTTTTAGCATGTTAGACATTTATATATGTCGCCTTTTAAAGTCCAAGAATCTTTAACCAAATTGCTAATTAAACACAATGATACCCTTGTGTTTGTGTAGATATAATGAGTTTTGAAAATCAGGGGTAAATTTCAATTTCATGCCTGCCAATGGCAAACTACCCCTAAAGCAAATTGTAAAATTTAATGTTTTTTTAAATACCATAATGACTTAATAAATAACAACACACATGCATAAACACTATTGATGCGTGAATAACCATTATTATTTGCGTGAATAATCATCATTGTTTAATGAACAAGCAACAAATTACATAAATAAATCAGCAAACTAAATGACGTGAATAAACATCAAAATATCAATGCATGAATTAGGTAGCGGCGGCTTTCTCTTTGCAGTTTCCACCATATATATATATCCTATGCACGCAAGCTTGTAGTATCATAGTTAGTTGTTTCCCTCCTCGATCGGTGCATGCCTTTGTAGTCTATCATAAACAACAAATCAAACTCCACCGCAACCACCCCGGCGCCTGAGAAAATGGATCTCTACTTGTTCCTTAGTTGCTCACTCTGCCTCATTTTCACCGCCACCTTCCTCCATTTACTAGGGAGATCAAAAACCAGCGACCGAGCCCCGGCGGGCAAACTCCCGCCGGGTCCCACCCGGGTGCCAATCATCGGCAACCTCCACAATCTGGGCCCCAACCCTCACAAATCACTGGCCGATCTGGCCAAGGTCCATGGGCCGTTGATGAGCCTGAAGCTGGGCCGAGTCACCACGATCGTGGCTTCTTCCCCTGCCATGGCCAAGGAAATCCTCCAAAAGCACGACAAAGTCCTCTCCAACCGCCACGTCAACCTCGCCATGGAAGCCCTCGACCACCACAAATTCTCCCTGCCGCTTCTCCCCGTGGAGTCCAAGTACTGGAGGAACCTCAGGAAAGTGTGCAACTCCTACATCTTCACCGCCCAGAGGCTGGACTCCAACGAGGAGCTCCGGAGGGTCAAGGTTGCGGAGCTCGTGGAAGGTGTTCGACGAAATGCCTCCGGGGAGGCGATTGACGTTGCGAGGGTGGCCTTCAGGGCCACTCTCAACGCCATGTCGTCCACCATTCTTTCGATGGATCTTGCGGACGAGGAGAGGTCGGAGGCCGCCAGGGAGTTCAAGGAGCTTGCGAGGGGTATCATGGAAGACTGTGCGACGCCCAATTTGGGAGACTTTTTCCCTCTCCTTGCGAGGATGGATTTGCAGGGGATCAAGAGGCGGGTGAAGGGTCATTTGAGAAAGGCTTTGGATCTGTTTGAAACTGTCATCGACAACCGGTTGCGGAATCGGAAGTCGGAGAGCTATGTCTCGGCGAACGACATGCTCGACACGCTTCTTGCCATCGGGGAGGAGGACAAGGCGGCTGCCATGGATCCACTTCGCATCCAACGCTTGTGCGTGGTGAGTATACTATACTATACTATACTCTTTCAGTACCAACCAATAATTAATTAATTACTATGCTCACTCTACGGTCTACACTACTTACTAACGCAACCTTTGTTTTGACGTATATATCAGGATCTCTTCGTAGCAGGGACCGATACAACTTCAACCACACTAGAATGGGCAATGGCAGAGCTTCTCCGCAATCCCAATGCACTTGCTAAAGCTAGGGAAGAACTGGACGCAACAATTGGGAAAGGCAATAATTTTCAGGAGTCGGACGTCTCTCGATTACCGTATTTACAAGCAATATTAAAAGAGACATTCAGGCTACACCCAGCAGCTCCCCTCCTACTTCCGCGCAAGGGAGGAGAAGATGTAGAGATTTGTGGTTTTATCATGCCCAAAGGTGTACAAATTCTAGTCAATGTGTGGGCCATCGGTCGAGATCCGATGATATGGGATGATCCCAACGCATTCGTGCCGGAAAGGTTCTTGGGTTCCGAGGTTAGTGCTAAGGGGAACAATTTTGAACTGCTTCCATTTGGCGCGGGGAGAAGGATCTGCCCAGGATTGCCTTTGGCACTGCGTATATTACATATGATGTTGGGTTCCTTGATCCATTGGTTTGATTGGAAGTTGCCAGATGGGGTCGAGCCAGAGAAGTTGGATATGGACGAAAAGTTTGGGATGGCTTTGCAAAAGGCCAAACCTTTGCTTGCCATCCCTACTCCCAGGTAATCAGAAAATCTGTAATTGAAAGCAACTGCTATGGTGATCGATGCAGCGTTTGACATTCTGAATGTAAGTGATTTGTGGCATTTTCTTTGAATTGGTAATATGTAAGAGACATTTTGATTTGGCAAGCATGTGGGAATGGTGATTGTAATAATACAAATATTGCGTGATATATATTATGAGCACTGATTAATATTTGCAACTTATTATCGATTATCATTTAGAGTATCTCAAACATATAATCCTGATTTGGATAATACTGTATAATGTCAATATGTCATATATTACTATCATAATATAAAATCTTATTACTCAGGTACGGACCGGTACCACCTGTGTTTTCCCACTCTACAATATCTTACCTTACCATCACAACGATCTGTACGTAGTCTAGTCGTAATTGGCTAATTGCTGGAATTGTTGACCACCCAACTTCAGTAGTGCTGACTTGACGCTAGCTAGCTAGCTTGACTACGCTTTTGTTGAAATTGACATATATGCATTGTTGAAGTTGAACCAAACGGGCGATATGCAAATCAAAATAAACAAGAATCTCCCACAGCACAAAAACAGACAAGCAACATATCGTAGCTGCCATTCATCAATCTTTCATTTGCTTTGGCTAAGCCCACCACATGGCACATGGAGCTCTCTAGAAAGCGTATAACAATAATAATCTGTGTGTCTGTTCGTTTGTTACATTTGTTGTTTGTGTACACATTCATGATTCATCTCATTAACTTCCCGTCAAAAACGTTTCCCCGCCCCCTCCCAAACGTACGGTTTATACAACAAGATTCCCTCTCTCACCTCTTCCGCCAAAAACGATTTCAAAATTCCCAAATTTACAGCCTCTCCCATACAACTACTCCCTCACCGTGACACACGGAACTGGGGAAGAAGACTTTAGACTTGCTGTGATGGCCGAAAGAATCCCACCTTCTGGTCACCGGGTTCGACCAAACCCTCCTCCATTTTGCTGCTACATTAACAGATACAGAGTATACAAAAACACCTCCCTCATTCTCCCTCCGCCCATTGAGATACTGCACAAAGTACGTCATCCATCAGCTCCTTACCGATCAGCAGAAGTAAAAGGCAAAACTTTTGGATGGATTCTGGCAGATTAAAGATGTAAAACTTAGAAATTACCTATACCAGTCGAAGCAGGACAATTAGCATCATTTCTCTTCGCTTAATGATTGGAGTAGTTTCAACAACTCTCTGTTCTTTACATTTCTTCTTAGCAGCTTAGCCTGACAGCATACTCGATCAAATGAGTGATTTTCTCACCTACAACCATGGCCACCAGGCCCCCATTTTGTCAAGGTAGGCGAGACCTACTCTATTATAACCTGTTCCCGCTTAGGAAAAAGTGTGTAATAATTTTTACTGACAGTCCACAAAATACTGATATTTATAATAAGAGCTCCTGATCGAAGGAGAGAACGGGGAAATTCCATATGACCCGATATATCTGACAAGCCGCACTATACGGTTCCAATCAACCAGGATTTAATTTTGAAACATCAGCCGTCAGAAAAATAATATAAACAATTAATTATAATAGTCCATCATTAGTATTGAATTTTAAAATTTCATATTCGAATCTCTCGAGTAACACATTATAATGAATATCGCCATTATAAAAAAAACACATTATAATGAAAACAAACATTTATCACCTTTAAACATTAATTATAAAATTGAAGCATAAAAATTAAATAAAATAAAATAAACCAAAAACAAAACAGGAAGGAGTCGTTTAATTGCTGTACAGCACATTCTCACTCATGATTCCAAAACAATGGAAGTGGTTACTGATGACACTGATCAGCTATAATTAGAATTATTAAACCATTAGTTATTAGAATTATTAAAGGGTTATAGGTATAATATGCTCATTTACTATGACGTTTTATCAAATATATCCCTCTACTATTTTTTACACCAAACATGCCCCTGTACTTTGAAAAAAATTATCAAACATGCAATTCTGTTAAGATTTTCAATGATAAAATCATCAATCATGGTTGAACCGAGATTTAGAAGACCCGACATTGGCAAATGGGAGCGAAAATGTCAATTTTTTCTCCCGTTTTATTTCTCTGGGTCTCTTCAAAGTGAAATTATTTGAATTATTTGGCTATACAAAAGAACAAAAAAAATCTAAAGTAAATTATTAGGGATATTTTAGACATTTGTGCCTCCCAAACCAAAGTTCCACCTTGGTTAACGGTTTTTGGTTGAAATCTTAAACAAAAGAGCATGTGTGATCATTTTTACATAGTACAGAGGCATGTTTGATGTAAAAAATAGTATAAGGGCATGTTTGATTAAACGTCATAGTAGAGAGGCATATTATACCTATAACCCATTATTAAACTACTAGCAGACAAAACTTACCAAAAATCGAGATTTACTGTTTATTACGAAAACAGAGTTCTTCACCACATTGGGCATTTGGGCTGGACAAGTGATGACCGTTGATTATCGTTTTAATTTCCTCACATACATGGACTCAACTCTCAAGTGCAAATGGCCACACAGGTCAGCACCCACTCCCTCTTCTCCGGTGCACCGTCCTCTCCTCTATGTTACTTTTTTAGCTTTCCCCATTCACTTTTTTCTAGGATCAAATCCCACAACCAATCACAATCAGCGTTTATCAAGCCTCCTCTATTTCCTATATAGCTCCCTCATTTGTTCTTTCTTCTTTGCTACCTTATCATTTCTCTCACTCTTCACACAATTCTATATAATCATACAAAATATAATAGTTCCCACATCACACCCAATTGGAATATAGAGACGGACAGTCTCACACTCTCTTTTACCAAAAGGGTATCTATCTAATGCAAATGCAATAGACTGAGAGAGAATTTTTGGGATGACTGAAAGAGAGATTTAGAAGAAAGTGTGAGACGGATAGTCTCACACTTTCTTTTAGCCTAATACCATTCACCTCCGACACGGTTTTGCCCTACACTATTTTTTGCACCAGATTAATAGGGATAGATTTAGAGAGAATAAGGTTGTTCCTTACTATAATATGAAAATTTCTAGTTGCACCATGTCACTAAAGCAATTGAAACTAGGATGTTTGGGTTCTAATTGTTAGGTTACAACCACTAGATTAGATCTGCATTGACCAAAATCAAGGTACGTAGGTGCGTGAATATATTACAAGTGAGCTTCATCCCATGGCAATTTTGGAAGATAGAATTGAAAATGGGAAGAGCCTAAACCAGAAGAAGGAGCGTAATGATAATCTTGTACGTGTGCACTAATTAATTAAGTTGGCCGACGGGCAGAGACAATGGTGGGTATGGTGAGAAGAGGGAGGTCTCGGCGGGCTGTAAGACCAACACACTCAGACATGTCCAAATCCTCCCCTCTCATTCCACCGGGAAGCTTCCAGTCAAAGTCCCTCACCAGATTCGCCAGCGCCACCTCCACGACGGCGAGGCCGAAAGAAATCCCCGGACAGCATCGCCTTCCAGCTCCAAAAGGTATCAGCTGAAAATCTTGGCCTTTGAAATCCACTTTGGCTTGGAGAAATCGCTCCGGCTGAAATTCGTCAGGCGATACCCCCCAATCGGCCGGGTCCCTTCCGATCCCCCAGGCATTGGTGAGGATCATGGTTCCTGCAGATACATCGTACCCCATTATGGTCGCATCTTGCATCAATTGCCTTGGAGGTAGCAGCGGGACTGGCGGGTGCAATCGAATCGTCTCTTTGATTACTAGCTTTAGGTACTCCAGCTTGTGCAAATTAGCTTCAAAAATAATGACACATTCACCACCAACTTCTCTTCTGACCTCCTCCTGCAGCTTCTTCATCACCCTCGGGTGTTTCATCAGCTCCGACATTGCCCATTCCAAAAGCGTTGAGGTTGTATCTGTTCCTCCGATGAACATGTCCTAATCCATCACGGCAGTCATAGTTAAGTAACAGGGAAATTTACATCATACGTAAGTACCTTTTTTATAATAAATAAATAAATAAATACCAAGATGACTGCTTTGATCCCGTCTCCATCCAGGTGGAAGTCGTCTGGGCTGTCCCTTTGGAGCTGCAGTAAGACATCTATGAAGGGTACTGCTTCGCCTTCTTCTTCTTCTTCTTCTTCTTCTTCTTCTTCTTCTTCTTCTTCTTCTTCTTCTTTTCCCCTTTCTATCATGTTGCTCCGTTTCTCCAAACGAGCCGCGCTCTCCAAGACCGCTCCATCAAGAAACTCATCAAATCGTCTAGCCACCCTATCGACTCGAGCGTCGAACCCAGTGAGTCGACTCACCCACGAGAGCTGAGGAATGAACTCGCCCACACTTAATGTAACAACCAACTCCATGAGCTCTGCCAAAAGATCCCTAAAGACGGTATTGCCATCGTACTTCCTCCCGAGCGCCATCCTGCAGATGACGTCGTTGGTGAAGCAGGGAAGTAGCGCGCTCAAGTTCACCTCCTGCCATCAATATATATAATTGCACACATGATTTATTTATTCGAATTCGTACGTAGAAACAAGAAGTAATTTTGGAATATCTAATCGCAAATTACCATCTACCTGGCCCGTTTGGGCACTTGCTCGAATCCGATTGACCAGCAACCCGATTTCCTCCTCCCTCAAAGCATGGCAGGACTGGATTTTCTTGTTGCTGAGGAGATGAAGCACGCACAGTCGTCTGGCCTGCCTCCAGTGCTCGCCGTAGCGAGCGTTGGCGATGTCTTTGTTATCGTAGAGAAGCTTCTTAGCGGTTTTCAGATCTGGCCGGTCGGCGGAGATGAGGTCGTTGGTCTTCATCACCTCACGCGCCGCCTTGGAGGTGGAGACCACTAATACCGGCCTGCTGCCAAAGTGGAGCAGCATGAGGTCAGGGCCGCCATAAAGCTTCGCCAAGGCGGGGAAAGTTCGGTGAGGATACTTTCCCACTTGGTGGAGGTTCCCAAGGATCGGCAGCTTCGGCGGGGACGGCGGCCGTCGGGCTTTGTTTCCATGCTGCGATCGTTTGTTGCTGCTGCTGATAATATTTCGGATGATGAGTAGCACTAGTACTGCAGCAGCAAACACGCCGGCGGCCAGCACAAGTAACGGTACTACTATTGCCATGGCTGGCTTATCGATCAAATACGCTTTCTGCGCGCAATTCCATCTGATATTGATTGATGTCTATATATTTCCGCCAAAGTATTTTTATTTTATTTTAGGAGCACCTGCCATATATGAGACCTCTAGCGTCCTGTCGTTATACAGCTAATAAATATTCTCCATCTTCTACTCATCAAGTATTTTAGGAGAACGTGCATGGTTTGATCATTAAGTATATTTTAGGAGTTTGTTCCCTCCAAATTGGTCCTTGTTTTTAATTTAATAGGAATCTTTCATGAATGATGTACTTCAATATTTATATTTGGAGAAAGTGAACAGTTTGGATTTTTTATGTCTCAAATAAGAAGCTATGTTACTAGCGAATAAAGACTTAGTCTAGTGATTCTAATGTTGATTTTTCTATCTTACTACATTCTATTGAAATTTTTGTTTACGTCTTCAACCTTAACATGCAGGTAAAAACAAAGTAGAGAAAAGAAGTGATTACATTATTAGTGTCTAAGAGCACTTCTGTAGTAATGTATCCTAACAATCACGAAATGAAATCATCACAGTTTATCGTGATCCACCCGTTTGAAAATAAATATAAACCATTAATTATAGAATTTAACCATTAGAAGAAAGGGGGTAAAAGTAAACAAAACAGGATGGAATCTTTTGATTGCGGTCCAGCACATTCTCACTCATGACTCCAAACAATGGAAGTGGTTACTGATCAGCTATAATAATCCAATAACTAATCAAGTAATTAACTTAATCACTACGTATATGACAAAGAACAAGTTGCTTCTTCTTTTAGTTGGAAACTTCATCCCTTTAGTCCTTTCCTTACTTCTTCTCGAATACAATTATGAGTTGTAAAACACTTCATATTTATTGTTATTTTATTATTGTAAGGGTTTATACTTCTATAATAGTATAAAAAAAAAAGTGTAGTTAACCCGGCCACCAGTTGCAAGTGCATCTTGCTAATTAATCACTAAAAAATAGTAGTGCTTCCATCCATTTCCAAATAAATAAATCAATTGCTAATCTCTCAAAAGAATTGTTTCTCTACTCCTTTAATTTTACTCGTAGTGAGAGCACTATGAGATCGAAAAGAAACTTTTTGCGGTAGTTTCAGCTTTTACCGACGGTCTCAGAAGCTCGATCCACCATCCTTAAATAGTTTGCAACGGTTCTGCTGGACTGTCGTACCAAATATGACTGACTTTTAGCGACGGGTGCGGTTTGACCGACGTTAAGTTAAGTTCAGATGCAAGTGAACTTGCATGATTAACCGATAAATTAATTGCGTGAAAATACAACTAATATATATTACCCCCCATAGAAGAGAAGAAAAGTACAGCAGAGAAGCTGAGATAGCCTGATGGAGTGGCTATATAATAAGTTCATATCAGGAAGGGTCTTCAACTGAAAATGGAGCTAGCTAGCAATAGCATCGATTAATATATATATGTTTAAGTTTCAGTTAATTCCCGTTGCCTTGACCAGTACTCCTGGGACTAAACTGAGCTGAGAAGAGGACGCCTGCTGGCACCCTTGTTGTTGTGTCTCAACATAACTAGGTAGAGTGGATCTTCAGGACTGAGTTGAAACAGCTTTATTGTCATGTAAACACAAGTAGCAAAACTGCAGACAGAGAAAGGAAGCAAAAAGGCAACAGATCGAAGTTGGTGTCAGCTTTTGCAGTCAAGTCAGTCAGTAGTCTTTTCTGTGAAAGCATATATATGGTTGAAGCTGGAAATTACGTACCATCCCGTCAATAAAAATGGAACCACCCACAGGGAAGCACTTAACCAACTTGTTTCCTTGTAGAAAACCCACACCTAGTACGTACGTACGTAGTAGATTAATTAAGACAACTTGGCAACAAATTAACATGGATCGATCAGCAGGGAACTACAGATCGAGCGAAGAGAATCGTTTCGTTTCGTTTAATTTTAGGCTTACCAAAAGACACACGGTGACAAAAGAGGAGTCGATCACTGTTCCTATGATCCACCTACGTACACACACATGGTTTTGTCACAAAATCACATTGCATGGATCGATTATAACCGACCAAGTCAGTCTAATTAACTAGCTAGCTAGCTTGATTACGCCATTTTTTTTTAAAGTGATTGAGATTGGCGATGAGAAATTAAAGTCGTCTTACGGGGCCAGGAGGACCTCCATGCGGAAAGGAGAACCGGCGGCGAAAATGGAGTAAACCACAGCTGCTATCATCAAGCAAACCAAACTTATGAACCCAATTCGTGCAGCCACGACGAAACAAGACTTGTCCGTCTTCCCCTTAATCTCTTCATCATCATAGCTCCTCCTTATAACATTAGTTAGCTGTAAGTACGCACGTACGTATAACAGAAAGAATCAGTACGTTAAGACAATATATATGTGGTACTTGTGCTCGTGTCGCAATAGCACATGGTAGATAGGGTCTTGCTGGGATTCTTGAGGTGACAACTTGAGAAGCTGAATAAAGACGTAGCCGCAAACCACCGCACTGTATTGGTGAGCACAGAGAACGTACGTACACACATAATTAACACATCTTCAATCCACACATATATATATGTAAGCCTAGATAGTTTAGAAGGGACTACAACTCCTAGCCGACTCGCTCGCTCGCTCGCTCTAAATCTCGATTTCGTTACTATTTAATGAACATATATATACCTGCCAGTAGGGAACATCACAAGTAGCCAAATTGCGGAATGCAGAAAGCTGGACTCCTTGTAGACCACCCAGAGCTGAAACAGAGAGAGAGAGAGAGAGAGAGAGAGAGAGCCCAAGTCAATCTAATAAACTGTAGCTAGCTATGTATATAGATTATAGAGCAATCGCTCGGAAAGCACAAGAAGCTAGCTAGCTAGCTAGCTGTAAATAAATAAATAAATACCGCAAAAGGGGACATGTTGACGAAGAACTCAGCGATTCCAGTACGCAACCATCTGCGTATTGCAAGAATAAATCACCAAAGAGAGAGACAAAATAGCTAGCTAAAACTGAAAGAAGCAAGCAAGCTCGCTAGCTAGCTCGATCTAATTAATGGCCTGGCCTGGCCTGGCCTGGCCGGAGTATTAATTAATATAATTACGTGGTGTAGGTGTCCCTGCTGTAGATGGGATGGTAGTGGTAAACGTAGCAGGCAACGACGGTGAACGCGCAGGCTAGTGCCAAGAAGAGAGCCTTTAAGCCGGTCGCCAGGAGAGCCGCCATCGCACTAGTACCTACGTATTCTGACTTCTTCGTTGCTTGCGCTACGGTGGTGTCTCCATTAGAGTGAGATCATCAGAGCTTTTTAATGGCGGCCAGAAAATTAAGGAGTACTAATAAACTAAACATTCTTCATCACTTGGTCAGATATAACAAATAATGAACAGACAACAACAAGTATAGTTGTTATTCCGGACCAAATTAAAATAAAGCTAGATTCCCACGGCCACGCTACCTGCCCCCCATTGGCCAGTTGCATGCCTCGCACTCATCTTTGTTTCACCATTAATTAAATTTAACACAAGGTATTAGGTAACCCTAATTAAACTAAACATAAAGCAGACAAAAGGAGTCTACATTATTCTGATCCAGCGCATGCAAATGCAATGCATGTGGCCAACTTGCAATCGTGGTTCCAGTCCACAACAAACTAAACTAAACTAAACAAACAGTAAAATTAAAGGATTCCTAAGACAAGTGGCCTGGTATTACCATTACCACAAAGGTACGTATTAGCAATTAAACTAAACATAAAACTGCGATCCAGCAGCGCATGTGGCCAATATTTCATCATGGTTTCAATCCATTAGAATAATTAAGCCACAAGTTCGCAAGAATTACCAAAAATCGCGTTTACTAGACAAGTGGGTACTGAACAACACTCACCCCTAACTGTTCTTGAATAAAGCTAGGAGTTATACTTACTCCTCCCTGGGTCGCCATATCCGACCGCCGGCCAGTCCTCTGATGTGACAATCCATTCCATGGGTCATTTCAAAATTGGAATTTCAGATAATATATTTTGACAATACATGTCATTAAAATAATTCATCATTTTTTTGTCTTAAAATGAAACACGATACTTTTACTTGAGCAAAAATTGCGATCACCAAATCGTTTAGGGTAAATACAATATATTAGCCACAACTATTATGAAGCGGGAAATTATAGCCACAATTATGGAAATTCAAATTATTAGCCATAACTATCGTCGCGGGTCAAGATATGGCTAACTGTCCGTTACTGTTATTAAATTTTTAACGGAGAAGGCCACGTCATCGGTCACGGCAACAGCCACGTCGGACTGCTTTTAATTTATAACTTTAAAACCCAAAAAATTTGTGAGTATTACTAAAGGAATTGTTATAGATAGTTAAAGTTTGGCTAATAATTTGTTGTGGCTATAATTTCCCGCTTCATAATAGTTGTGGCAAATATATTATTTTTACCCAATCATTTATTATGGATGATTTTCAATCTCAACAAAAAGCTGAGATTGTCAATATCTCAATTTTTCTTCCTCATTTTTTGTGGGATCACTAAAACTATTCAACCTCCAAATAATGTAATATTTAAATTCATACATTGAACAATGCATTTAATTAGAATACATAAATTAATTAAAGGCATCAATTTAGAGAATCCTAACAATCAAAGATGGCCTCAATTCATCAGTTTTGTTAACCAAATTAGGCAAATTCCAAAAAATCAAAATCAATTTTTTTAAAAGGGCTTATCGAGTAATGGTTAATAGATAACTCCCTTAACGGTTTTGGTTTGGTTTGGATAAACCAAATACATGGTTTGCAAAATCCAATGGAGCCAGATAATACAACAAGAAACATGCGATAGTAAAAATGTCTACTACACATAAGTTTGCGATAAAGCATGTTGTTGACGAATATTGACTTATTTAGGGTGGAATGATTTCGTATTTGTATTTTGGTTTTAAGTGAAATCGAAACAATTAAGACATTAAACAAATTTTAATTGTAATGACA